TTGATCCCAGTTATCTAATTTCTCGCCTTGGTATTTATATCTACTGAAAGAGAATCGGTTTCAGACGAGTTATTTGCCCCTGGGTTAGAAATTGGTACCAGACCAGTTGATTGATAATCTCGCTTACCAACATGGACGTAACAGACTTTAGACATATCTTAGTCATATCTTAATGTTATTTTAAAAATATTTGCCGCGTTACAGGTTCCTGTGGTTTAGATCAGCATAACACTGGCTTGAATCGGGAAGAGACGCAGTGAAATGACGCGTGTGAAGGTCTAATTTCTTGGTAAACGTGAACCGATCAAATTAGTGCAGTATTAATTATGAGATAACTAGAATTTTTTTAGACTGGAGGCCATCGATAAAATAATAAATATATAATTATTTAAGCTGGGGTCCGAATGATATATAGAACAAAACAAACAAATAACATCTGTACATATATATTATATCAAAACGAAACTGGGCTTAAATACATACATGCTTATCTTATAATCCCAAACTTTATTTATTTACAAAACATATATTTACGTTGTCTTAAAACTATAAAACTGTCAATTATTAAGACACATTATTACAATAGTAATTTACTGGTTTTGATATGTCAAAAGTGTCTTTTTAAATCACGTAAAAGTTTTAATGAACATCATCCAATATTTTATTTAAAACAAATATAAAATTGCACCTCTAAAGATATATAAGCTAATAAGGATTAACAACAGCCTTTTAGATTGATGAACATAAAATAATATTTCGAGGCTTCTTTTACACTTATAAAATGATATTATTCCTCAACTCCATAAATAACAAGCCCGAACAAACATAACACATGACAGCAGAAATAACCTCGAACCCAAAACCAAAATGAAAATGTTGTCTGTAGTTTGGTATACCATTTGGTGTAAGTTGAGGATATTTGGCTCCAAAAACTATAATGGCTATGGTGATGAAGGAACCTGCAGAAGAAACATAATAAAACGTCACATAGTTGACACAACTAGGACTGGTGGTTAATTTTATACAAGGTAAATCTATGCAAGATAATAGTAAACAGTTTTCTGTACTGAAATTAAAGTCCTAAATTTATCTTTATTTTATTTCAACTTTTCTTATACAATCAGATTGTTTCAAAATGTGTAGATGTGTGTGTTTTATTGATATCTATATTCGAGTTACTCTGCATATGTGTAATTTATCTTTATTTTTAAAGAAATACAAAATCGATATCTAAGCTTTGTAAAACGCCATAGCACAGCTATTGGTGGGATTCTGTTGAGCTATATAAATGAATAAATCATTATTAATTATTATTAACTCAACTGTCAGCAGCTCCACCGCCACCTCTTTGTATTTGAAATATATACTGAGCGCCATGGAAAACGCATCACTTAGTTTTTCGTATAACACAATGATCCTGTAAACATATCTTATTTATTTTGCTTCTTATTGTGAACAATATTCAAATGGGAACACATCAATAACAACACATTTGTACACTTATGGATGTTTAATCTGTAATCAGGGGAACAGAGTCAAAGGGGTCAAAACCAAAGTACGACACAGATGTCAGTAGCGCGTGTGTCCCCCATGGGCCATCATCACGGTAGGCTACAGAATTAACGCGACCCCTGCAAATGTGTAGGGCGGTCCGGTGATGAAATGTGAAGCCTCCCCACACCATTACACTTCCCCCACCCCATCGATTCGTTTCGAAGACGCAGCAGTATGCAAGACGTTCCCCAAGACGTCTCCACACACGTTGACGGCCATCAACGTGATAAAGATGAAAGCGACTCTCATCACTGAAGAGCACACTTTGCCAGTCTACTCTTCTCCATGTCTAGTGTCCTTGAGCCCATATCAAACGCCGCTGACGCTCCCTGAGGATAGCTCCAACATAAGGTCGTCGTGCACCGAGTCCTACTTCTCTTAGACGACGTCCCATTTCGACTACAGCTTATAACAACAGATTTTACGGTCTGGTGATTTTATTATCCCTACTTATATACCCTCTCTATAGCTAAAATAGATTCTTCCATATCCCATTCAGGCTACAGCGTATAACAAAATGTTTGACTGAATGATAGTGAACTTGAAGAAGTCATCTCAATTAGCCATATCTTATCCGATTTTGACGAGACTTGAAATATAGGTTTATCCCCAAAAGATCTAGGTTCCTTTCGATATTGGCATGTATCGGATTGAAACTTCATGAATTATGGCCCCTGATTGTACGAAAAGTCACTTTTTTTAGCGTGTGGACACTCTAGAGGTCACAATTATCATCTGGTTTCTTTCGATATTCGCGCTTGTCGGATCTGAATTACGACCCTTGATTGTACGAAAAATCTCGTTTTTAGCTTGTGGTCCCTCTAGAGGTCACAATTTGTATCCGATTTAAAAAAAAACGTTTGAATATATCACCGTTACGCCCTAATGATGATTGAGTTCGAATTTTCTGAAAATCTGATCGAAACTGCCAGACAAAATTGTCGCCCCTCGTACGCAAAAATTAAAGTTGACTTGGGTGAAAATTATAAAAAACAAATTATATTAAAATTGACTTGGGTGAATATTAAAAAAAAACAAATTATATTATTTTTCATGTCCCTTATCAGCCACCGTATAAGCAAGTATTAATCTCAATATTATCTCCAAATATTACAAATATTTGTCAAAACAAAAATTGTACTCTGAGTTGATGTTTTTGCTTTGATGTTAAAAAAACAAGCTATATTATAATGAATAAGCTATTTTAACAATAATCATTACCTTAATTAGATCTCTTAATCAGTGGAACAGTTCATTGCTGATTATTTGGGGGTCAGGATTTTGAGGGTTATAAAATTTGTAGTCGAAATGGGGTGTGGTCGAAATGGGACGTAGTCGAAAAGGGAGTGAACCCTGGTCCTTGTCTTCGGACGACTGCTGCACCTATTCGAGTTGCTGGGCGGAATCTGTCACGCAGATGAGTGACCCGGATGTAGCGATCTTAAGCCTGTGTTGTAACGCGTTGTGGACCAGGACGTTGACGGTCACGTGTTGATCCAGTAACTCGAACACGTTCCACCATTCTTACAATAGTGGACTGATGACAATTGAAGTGTCTGGCAATAGCACGTGTAGACATGCCAGCCCTGGACATTCCCATGGCTTCATTCCGTTGATTTTCAGTAAGTCTCGGCATCTCTAGCTCGATTCCTTCACACGTCCAACAACAAATTAAGACAGATTGACGTTTCACAGTTCATGAACTGCACATTAAGTTGAAAACATGCTTTTAAAGGGCTCACACACAATGCTGCACGTGAATATTGGGTTTTTCATGTGCATCTCGTGCAAATTTTTTTTTTTTTGCACACGGGCCGATATTCTTTGCGTTTGGGAGCATTGTGTGAAACAATAGTTCATAGAATTGCATAATATTATACATACAAAACCACCTAGTAATAAAATATTTGGGAAAACAAAGTGATGCGTTTTCCATGGCGCTCAGTATATATGAGTTTCTGTCTGTGATGTTGAGACTGTGTTCAATATCGGCCTATTTACACCACTTAAACACGAGAGTGTCATTTGTGTTACCTAAACACTAACGTATTCCTGAAATCTATTTTTGGATTTTTGGCAACACGTTTGTATGAAAAAATTAAAATCTATGTTTACATGAAAAAAATTTTATCATAATTAAACTAAGTTACTGTCGTTCAAACAATATCTCATAAGACTAATCAGTTATGGTTAAAACGATCTAGGTTTTTAAATAAGCCGGTCTTTATGGCCCGAGGCTTAGTCAATAAAAAAAAAGCCATTGAATAGTAATTAGTCGAATTTTTCGGCAATACTTTTTGTTATCTCCTTTCTACTTGAGTAAATTTGCAAAATAATAAACCGTATACCAAAATGCTGTTGACTTTGATGGCGAATAGAAAGGTGGTGATATTCTATTAAAGAGGGGCTACCTTTGACGAAATTATTTTAACAGTTGTCCAAACTAGATCGGCATTATCATATACAGAAAGAATTACAATTTTATTACAGAATTACTGGTACCTTTCTTGTTATAATTTAAGGTAGTTTTTTATTGACTAAATAGTTTGCAATGGAATGTTTGTTTACGTTATACACTTATATGTTATGAGAGTTGAATTCAGGATCTATAAAGTTGTGGAATTTAGAAGTTATTTTGCCGATTGACTTATTTTGGACGGTAATTGAAAATGACTCCCCATTTTGTCGATCAGTTATATATTTTCTCGAGTTTATTGTATTTTGTGTTGATTTAGTATCGTCGATTATTATAAACAAGGACGGGTCATCCGTAAATATTTTCAGAAATATTATTAACGCAAATTATAAAGAGTAGAGGTTCAAGAAATGAACTCTGCAAAACCGCCCTTATGCATATTGTCTATGGTTAAATCAAAGATGGCTTCATAGATATCTTTAAGTGATATGCTCACCAATATTTTTTTTCCCGTTGTATTTTCTTTATGGCGTTCGTTCAGCAATGTTTGGAATGTGATTGGTAGACGCCAGACCATTCAAGTGAGCAAAGCATGTATTTCAATGTTAATAGAATGACCAACGGAATGAACGAAACAAAAATAACACAGTTTTAAAATTAAATTGGGTGACCACTTGTTTATTTACGTTACCCATAAAACACTGTTAAATAATCGGTGCTTTCTAATTTCCTTAGACGCAAAAATATTAGAATGCGCTTTGTTGTATTTGCATCCGCTAATTTGACCTGGTTCCATTTGCAAACACCCCTGAAAGCAGTTATTGGAGGATCAAAACATGCCCCATCTTGATCAAAAACTAAATATCTTGATCCATCACCAAAACTGGATACATCAGATGTATTTGATTATGTCACAATTCTACTCAATTATTCCGTGCCAACCGGCTCATCAACATCAATTCTGTCAGGGCGAACACTAACATGTATACCTGATAGTCTTAACATTATTTATTACTTACCAGCACAAAGGGACAGAATTATGGTGAGGATAGCAGCAAATTTTCTACCGCTGAGTTTAGGTAGTAAAGTATATAACACAGATATCAATATAGTTGGAATCAACGCCAATATACCAAATACAGAAAATGTCTGAGTTACATGAAACCAGCCTGATGTAAGATAAAGAGAACAAACATAGGATAACAAGAATATAATAATACAGTATAATCGATCCTAACCTAAGGAGAATAATAGTATCATGTTAAAAGTGGTAACAGTGCTTCAACGGGACTTCCAACAAACTCAAAGTTAGAATTTTATGGACAAGGAACTTGGTCTCAAGCCCTACCCATCTTGGTGTTCTTCTTTGGTGACGGTTTGGAGGTTGGGATGGAAGAGGGGCGCCAATCGAAGTAACATTAACTTGGCATGCTTGTTCTTTAGACAATTGCGGAAGGCTTCGGTTTCTGGTCCATATTACATTTAAAGGCCGGGGCGTGTTCGGGAATTTGGGCAACGGGGGTCCAAGATGGAGATAATTACGTCAAATTTGGCGTGAGGTCAGGGCCAGATTTAGATGAAAAGGGATGCCTCCCAAGCCCCACCTTCGCGACTAAAGGAAGATGAAAGTATGTTTAAACACGATTGAGCAAAGCCGGGGATAATGGCTTTACCTATGTGAAGCCTATAGGTAAATCCGGCACTGCCTGAGGTCTTGGTGAATACCTGTTATAAAATCTGAAGCTCTGAAGCAATGTTTCTACTTATTTAGTTGTTCATGTGTATAGGCTATAAAGATGAGTGAGGCCAAACCGACCGCAATGCTTCGTGCGTTTGTTATTTCCATAACCATTAAGCAAAATAAGCACGTGCTTATAGGGCATCATGTTTATATATGGGGGCACCACAGAATGTCTGCTTTGTTAGATTCCAAATTTAAAATACTTAATTTAGAAATTATTTAAGAACTTTCAATGAGTTTTTCTTTGTTTTTGTCTTTTCATATTGCTACCTGTTTTGTCGCAGTTAATAATAATGTATAAAATCCCAGAAAAACTCTAATCACCTGCTTGGCGAATTACATATCATATGGGGGTACAAATTCTTTTTATGTGGTTAGGGCCTCTGTAGGTCTTAATCCTACCCCCTCTGAACACGCGCCTCAGTTCAGGGGTTCATTCCCTCCATGATGGGAATCTTGTCCCATAAATAATAGTACGAACTATTAATTTTGAAAACGAAATGTTGGCACAAAGTGGTAATTGAGATACTAACCTGGCATTTTCGAACCATGATGAATGACTTCGTAAGCAGCACAAACCCAGGTTTTATAAAGATTCTTATAACAACTCTGCCAGATCCCTTCGTGCCAAAGAGTGTCATTTCCAGTGTAAGCCATGACCCAGTATGACGTTGCGACAGCAACGACGTGTATACCCAATGCCAGAGTTAGTAAAATGGAAACTATCTTTGCTAAGATACTGGCATTGTCACACAGCTTGATTTGAACTTCACTCTCTGATTTCTCGGTCATATGCATCTTTAAAAACTATTGGTTGACTCTGAAATTAAAAATAATAAAATAAAATTAATATTTACGAAATAATAAACCAATAGGTAAAAATCAACTACATGTACTGCACATTGACCATGCTATATCATGGCGATAATTTCTCGTTGTTTATCTATTGTTTAAACATTGAAAATGTACCATTAAAATCGTACTCTTAAAAAACTATTAGTTGTCGATTCTAAAAAGGTAAAATAAACAACACCAAGCTATGATACATTTTAAACTGATATTTTAGGCAATAATAAAAAAAAACTGAAAAAAAGCAATCGACAGCTGTACAATAACAATGATATATCGTGGTGATAGTTTCCCGTGGTCATTTTGATATACTTATATATTTATTTATTATATTTACTTTCTGTACTCCCAAATTGAATGTGGATGTATCATTTCTATTTATGTAACACGACCATCGGAAATTTATTCATATCGGATGGAAGGGCCTATAAATATTTGTAATTTATAGACTCCACCCCACTCCTGGTTCCAGCGTACCTTATATAAGTAATATGTTAAACCACTTCTCCTTTCAGTTTATTTCATAATCATTTGAACTAAGGAACGTATCTTTATGGTTAAGATGGTGTTATATATAGTTGAATGCGTTTTTTTAATGTGGATTCACAAAATTATATACCCTGTATAAACATATAGACTAAGTAAGTAGCCCGATCATAACAATTACTGGCCTACTTCAAGTTCATTTTATATCTCGTTATATAAAAATGAATCCTATAGTTTGATTTTAGTCACGACTCGGGAGACGCCCTTCGTCCATGCCTTTGTATATATCTGTATTCAACGTATTAAGAAAATGCGAATTAATAATGAAACCTTGAATTGTATAGGTACAGATATGTAAAAATCAAAAAAACAACATTTGGTTATATCCTTTTGTCGGTATTATTTTATCAACGCGTGATGATCCTATAAAATGTGCTGTGAGGGAAATGTTGCCCAGACAGCGGCACTACGGCCTACTCTTATATCGAATTCCAACTGCCAAGGTATATTTCCGCCAATGTGTACACAGGAACCCGGGTCTTGGTCCCATCCGAACGATTATACGTTTCTCCTGCAAGGCCCTCGGTCCTGAAGCACTGACAACTAGGAACCACTCCGGAAATTCCCAATGAACTGCCACGGTATTTTTTACGTGTACGCCAATATGTACACGAGACCTCGGGTTTTGGTCCCATCCGAAAGATTATACGTTGTCCCTTGAAAGGCCCTCGGTCCTGAAGCACTGGCAGGGGGAACCACTTCGGAAATTCTCAATGAACTTTTGCGGCCATCTGAGAGAGAAGAGAAGGAGAGAAGAATTAACGCCCACTCGACACAAACTAGGTAATTGGTAAATGTCTTGGTAGATGGTTCCGGTAAAACTACCCTTTTACCCCCCCCCCACTTTCCAGAAATACTAGATCTGATAAATGAGGACATTGCTAAGGATGCTCCAAGCCCAAAACTAATAATATTATTGATTGTGATGGGTCTATGTCACCAGATACTTAATAACGCTGTCAACTGATGCGACACCTTCGCCAAATGTCTTTACATCAAAATCACCTATTCAGCAGAACTTTAGATGTAGCGAGCCCAGTGTAGAGGTAGATCAAACTGGCACACCATTAGATCTACAAATGCACACCAATGGTCGTAGGCTAATTATAAATTCCTCAAAAATTTATACTACAAGCCTCATACCAAGATTGATAAACCTCGCTGTAAGTCTAAGACGGTAATCACTTTAACCTCCATTCCAATAAACCAGAATGCAGATTTAGCCGGGCTACAATCCGAAATAAATCTACTATTAATGGGGTAAATGAGAAGTTCAAACAGATTAGTTTATGTCTCAAGGCCACAGAGGTGGAGAATTTAAAGCTTCAAATTCAGGTCCAAACGCTTGAAGAAAAAAATGTGATCTTAAACACAAGCAATCTATTGAGTGATAATGCTACTTTAAGAGTCTCCAATATGGACCTATCAAATGAACTCAATCTTCTAAGAATGTCCCAAAAAGCAGGGCTTACTAATGATATAATTGATTCCAGTTATAGGCCTACAAATCAGGGGCGGATTGGGGCCGCGAACCGGCCCGGGCTCCCGTGTCGGAGCGGCCCCTTTTACTCCGACACTGGCCACATACAAAATGATCATCATCGCTCCATGGCCGGTCCAATACACACCCCCCACACCCGCCATATAATGTTTAGCAGAAAAAGTTTTTTTTAGACGAATTGGATAAAATTATATTTTTCATTTTTTGTCCGACCGGCCCTTTGGGCGATCGCCCGATGGCCTAATCCGCCCCTGCTACAAATATAACACAAAGTAGCAGCAGGAGAGGCTTCATTGAACGTCATAAACGCAATAAAATATTGGATAGTCAGGCGAATGTGGTGATTGGTTCATCTATCCTAAAGCCTAAACGATTAGATCGAAGCCGGAAAACAGCCACTATTAGTGGTAGAAAAATCTTCGATGTCTATAAAGTCTTGGAGCGATGCCCAGCGTCAAGTGAAACTAAAAAGTCATTATTTTTAATAGGCTCAAACAAGTCAAACACAAACCTGCCTGAATGTACAAATGATTAACACTGATTTCTACACTAAAAAGTAAATTCCCGAATGCTGAAATGGCTTTCACTGAACTACATGTACTTCCAAGTGACGATGATCTTAAAGACCACATAATAGAACTCATTAAAGTACTAGAAGAAGTATGTGACTCAAGCACATGTGAACTTATTTATTATCGTTATGTAAACATTTTTTTCCGGATTCTATGCATGATTGATGTTGTTAAAAGGGCAAAATGTAAGAAAGGCCCCAGGCCTATTTTTCTACCCTTTCGAAATAAAGTGATTATTATTACTATCATTATTATCATTATTAAAACAACATTTCAATTCCATCAGATGTAGACGCAAGGTAGCAGGCATATTTGGCACAAGTAATCGTTGGAGCAAGCATGGCCAGAACACAGGATTTCCAAATTGTACAAATAAATATTTCTTATTGTGTACTTTGCTTCTTAAATTTTGATTGTGGTCATTTCACAGGACTAAATTCCTTCCTCGACAAACACGTCTTCGTGTACTGTTTCAATAACGTTATCTTTTAAAATAGTCACAACTTTGTAAACAACTTCATAATAGACAAAAAACGGTGTCCTTGACCAAATAACGTGCTATGCAATTTGCCGCTATATTTTGTGCCCACATGTTACGATTAAAATAGTTAATAAGTATTGTAATATTTTAAGTATTGCCTCGTCGTTTGGATGGGGCATAAAATCGAGGTCCATCCGTATACTCGTAAAGACACTAACTATCGTTAGATAAAAAATGAGGGTGTTACAGACGACGTAAATAATGCTCGAGTGAACATAATATTTAATTTGCGTGAAATAATCTTTAACGCAAATCTTTTTATAGTCTTAAAATTAATGCATAAACCTAAAAGCCAAACACTAATATGAAGTGATTTATCGTTTTATAATCTAGACCAGATCGTTAAAACAACCCCTTAAATTTTCTTCCTGTTAACCCTTGGGGTCATCACGTCAGGAAACATCGAGTTCAAAATTCAGTTTCTACTCAAAGATATGAAACCTCGTTCATTATATAACATTCCTGCATTTTCTTTTCTAAAAAATATACAATTACACAGTAATCCAGAAAAACGATAATTAGTAATAATTACAAATAATATTCTTTTAAAAATACATAATTACACAGTATAATTCTTCTTTATTTATAACATGCAGATCAGAGTATACATGTGCTACTTTGTTCACGGAGGATTGTTTTTGGTTGTACCTTTAAAAGTAAATTTCAAATTTCTATTTAAATAATTTCCAACAAACTAATCCAATTCTGTCTTTGATACGGTTCTCAAAAAGTCCAGGTATTGATCTTTATTTGGTAATTTATTTTTAATTTTACATTCATTGATGTAATATTTTGTAAGGAGGATGAGGTGATTTACAAATAACCATTCATGTTTGTCAGTAAACATTTCTATATTATGTACTCCCAGATGTATTGATGCTTGACAGATTTTGGTATTAATATTATTTTTGATAGAATTTCAGACAAGTTGTTTAATTTTTGTTTGTGTTATAGGACATAGGTGGAATGAGTTACAGAGGTTACATAGAAAACTCTCAGTAAATTTGAGTTTAAATAGCTTTGTGTTAGTATATATTATTCTATGTACGTACTTATAATGAAAGTTGCTCGGATTTTTGTGTAACAGCATAACAGTGATTTTTGTTTGGGAGGGGGGGGGGGGGGTTATTAGCTGATATTATAGTTGGGTGTCTTTAACATATCAACTACTGCAGTCCACAAAAATCAACAGTAACTAAGAATTATAAAACTGATGGAATTAACAGCCATGTACTTAAAAGAAAAAAAACTAATATAATAATAGATTAACGAATAAATAGTCTAGTGTTATAATTTAAAATCACTCAAGTGTGCTTAATGCATTTTATCTGACCAAACTAATAATACATAATTTACTTTTACTCATTTTCAATCAGTATTTAAACTATTAATGGAAAACTTAATTGTACCCATTCCCAATCAGTATTTAAACTAATAATAAATAACTTAGTTTCACCCTTTATCAATCAGTATTTAAACTATTAATAGATAACTTAGTTTCACCCATTTATCAATTAGTATTTAAACTATTAATAGATAACCTAGTTTTACCCTTCTCTATGTATTTAAACAAATAACAATAACTTGTGCGGTTTTCGTCTGTTGATACTGCCCTTGAAACACAATATTATAATTATGGGTAATTATATGTAGGGGTATGTAGATAATCCAATAATATTATTCTAATACTATTGAAAATTGAGCTAATCATATTATGTTATCTTTAGGGACATGACATTGTATAGTATTAACGTCTGACTCATTTGCATGAATAGCATGTCTATTTGTGTACCATTCAGTACTGTTATATA